TATTATTGTCAAATAATGACATTCACGATAGCTGCCTCGAAAGTTACATAACTTTCGTAATACTGATTCAATTTTGGATCTGTTTTCACTTTTATGTTGCTTATACCTCCTACTAATAGAATAAAGGACAAAACCTTTCAGAAATTTTGCCACACGGCCTCAGTTCTAATAGATACTTTGCTATAGTTGGAAATTCTGAACCAAAAATAGATTGATGACGTCATAATTTATGCAAATTAGATAATTTGCACAATTGAATATCAGAAATTTATTGGAAATTTAACGAGGTTTAATTTGGTACCACTATCATTTCTATAGACCAAATAATGACAGAGCTACAAATGATTTAAGATACCAAGGTAAGATGTCTAAAGATGCGTAACCATGGTAACTGAATGCCGCCATAAAAGTACTATGGGACATTAGTTGGCAATGTTAACAAATGAATTCATTAAATAGACACCATAGGGATGACAAAAATGTATGTAACTTATTCACACCTTATGGGTGCATGGGAACCCCTTGTTCCTACTATACTATAGTGAAATGAATGTAGACTAGAATCAGTGCATTGAATATAATGACCTCTTTTTGACAAGCAGGCAAGTTATGTTAACTAATTGAATGGTAAATGATTTCTCAATTGATACTGAGATTTAACAAGAAAAAATAGGTGTCAAAATGTGTTTTGGGTTAAATATGTGTTTTTCGGAGAATTTTTTTTTTAAATTAAAAAAAAATTAGAAATTTTATTTCAGTAAATATAGTCTGGTTGACTATGGAAACATGAAAATAAATCAGTTTTGATCGATTTTGGTGATTTTGGGGAGGTTTAAGAGATTTCTCTTGTGGTTGGCATATAGTGAAATGAATGTAGACTAGAATCAGTGCATTGAATATAATGACCTCTTTTTGACAAGCAGGCAAGTTATGTTAACTAATTGAATGGTAAATGATTTGTTAATTGATACTGAGAGTTAACAAGAAGAAATAGGTGTCATAATGTGTTTTGGGGTAAAAATGTTTTTTTGCAGAAAAAAATTAAACATTAATTTTTTTAGAAATTTTATTTTAGTAAAAACAGTCTGGCTACAGAGTATAAAAAGTGAAAATAAACCATTTTTGATCGATTTTGGGAAGCTTTTAGCGATTTCTCTTGTGGTTGGCATAATATGTATAGTGGAATAAATAGTCAATTACCAATTCTTTTGCATTACTAATAGAGACAATATTTAGGTTTACTACTCAAATTAGCATTTCACCAAGAAAACAATATATTCTAATTCAATTTTATTCCGTACTACATTCTGTCATATTCCTTCAGTTATATTATTCACACTTTCGTAAAAGTAAAGAAAATTAACCAAAAAGCATACTTTAATATATTCAAAACCTTTGCAAACACAATGACCAGTTTACTAAATAACACTATAAAATTGACATTGATACATACAATGTTATATATGGAAACATATTTTCAATTTTCAGTATCATCACCACAGGCTGTCATCAGCCATTTTGAACATTGGGGTATACCAGGTCGTTTTTACAAGTTTCAATGTTCCATACAATTTATTACTAAAATGAAAAGCAGATTAAATGAACCAGCACAAATAATGACAATGTAAATCATGTTCCTGGTAGAAATTCGTCTCACACCTTTTATGATCGAATATGATGTTACTGCAGAAGGCATGACCATTAGCTAATACATGTACATAGTATCTTTCTCTCACAGCTGACAACTAAGAACATGTTCATCTTTAGCATGAGCAGAAGATCATTCACTTGTGAGAGAATGCTGTATGCCAAATAGATACTGATGTTGTATCACGTTTGAATTTTGAAAAAATTGTCTCGATGATCTTTGCATTTAATTGACATTAGGTGATACCAATTCCAATGATGGATATTGTTGGTACAATCGAGAATTATATTATACTGGTTGTTGTACACTATACTTGTATGTCAGAAATGTATTGTGCCATTTTAACTTTTGTAGCGTTGTACCTTCCCCATTGTTGAAAATATATCATATGATTTATCAATTATCTGTAGAGGTCCTGTTTGGATGTTGCGCCTCAATTGTATTTTCAAGGTTCTTTGTATTGTGTTCAACTGTTTCTTTTAAACTTTTTATAACGTTTGTCCATCTGGATTTAGTACAGAAACTGCATACTGTTTTCTGTGTGATAGACCCCACTGTCTGAACCATTGACTAACACGTCTATTTTGATAGGGAGATGATTGTGAGTGGTGATTATTGATTCTAGACCGTACTAGTTCAATAAAGTCAATCAAACCAGAAAAAGTACAATTATCGTAACACTAGATTGGCTGGCAGAGCTCCAACCTGGCACAATGACAAGTTGACCACAACTATTTATGTGGTGATCAACACTGATTGTATTGTTTGAACTAGTTAAGGGATGGAGAATATTATTTTAATTAATTGTCTAATTAGTGCCTTTTGACACCTCGTCCACCATGTTAAATCTCATAAATCTTTTGTTATATATAAGGGAGTATTTTGATATAGGTCTCTTGCCTGCTCGTTAAAATATAAGTACTTTCACTTTCTAGAGGCTTTTATCATCATATGATTCTAGTCTATTACTTGTTTTTATGTTTTTTTATTTTAACTCAAAAAGTAATAGAGCGATATTGCTCATATTTGATATGTAAATACGAACCCGGCATCGTCTTTTTATTATTAGCTCACATGGTGAGCTTTTGCAATCACTCACTTGTCCGTCTGTCTGTCTGTCTGTCTGTCCGTCCGTCAACAATAGTGGCACGTTTTAAAACCTCTGTCGATAGGATTCCTGTTTTAAGTTATTTCTATTCAACATCAATACAGAAAACTCCCCTATGACTCCTGGTTCAAAAGCTCGCCTAATTTCAAAATGGCCACCATTTTTGTCTCGCGAAATTCACTTTTGACCCATTTCCTAGCTTTACAAATAATTTCAGGTGTCCTACATTGTAAAAATCCATGTCAATGTAAAACTATGGCTGGTTTCGATCCCTATTTCTCAACCATTAATGCCATAGCCAGGATCCACCTCAAAAGATGCCAAGTGAAAATATTGTGAGTTCAGCGCCAATGTCTTAAACAATTCCTAATAACATTGATTTGTCCATCTGACTCGGGAAATCCACTTTTCCGTCAACAACAGTGGCACGTTTTAAAACGCCATTTTAAAACGCCATTTTAGTTAACATTGATTTGTCCATCTGTCTCGCAAAATCCACTTTTGGACCATTTGCCTTAAACCCTCTGTCGATAGGATTCTCGTTTTAAGTTAATTTTGTTCAACATCAATACAAAAAATTCTCCTATGGCTCTTGGTTAAAAAGCTCACCTAATTTCAAAATGGTCTCCATTCTTGTTGCGAAATCCACTTTTCCGTCAACAACAGTGGCACGTTTTAAAACCTCTGTCGATAGGATTCCTGTTTTAAGTTATTTCTGTTCAACATCAATACAGAAAACTCCCCTATGACTCCTGGTTCAAAAGCTCGCCTATTTTTAAAATGGCCACCATTTTAGTCTCGTGAAATTCACTTTTGACCCATTTCCTAGCTTTACAAATAATTTCAAGTGTCCTACATTGTAAAAATCCATGTCAATATAAAGAGTAGATGTATGAAATAATTTTGTTATGAAAAATCAGCAAAAAATTATATCCATTTTTTTATTTTCAGCCATTTTAGTTAACATTGATTTGTCCATCTGTCTCGCAAAATCCACTTTTGGACCATTTGCCTTAAACCCTCTGTCGATAGGATTTTGTTTAAAGATAATTTTGTTCAACATCAATACAAAAAACTCTCCTTAATGACTCTTGGTTAAAAAGCTCGCCTATTTTCAAATAGGCAAAATATTATATCCCTTTTTTTCAGCCATTTTAGTTAACATTGATTTGTCCATCTGTCTCGCGAAATCCTCTTTTGGACCATTTGCCTCTGTTGATAGGATTCCAGTTTCAAGTTATTTTTGTTCAACATCAATACAAAAAACTCCCCTATGACTCCTGGTTCAAAAGGTTGCCTATTTTCAAAATGGTTGCCATTTTTGTCTCGCAAAATTCAATTTTGGCCAACTTCCTAGCTTTACAAATAATTTCAGGTGACCTGAATTGCAAAAGGCCATGTCACTGTAAAAAGTAGTTGTATGAAATAATTTTGTTACAAATAATTGGCAAAAAAATTATATCTGTTTTTTTTCAGCCATTTTACTTAACATCGATTTGTCCATCTGTCTCTTGGTCAGTCCAAAAAGTGGCAAGTGGCTTGAAATAATTTTGTTGCAAAAAATCAGCAAAAAATTATATTGTTTTTTCTGTCATTTTAGCCATCTTTCACTTTTGAGCAACACCGTGTGAGCCCAGTACCCACGGTACTATTTTATTTTTTAAGTTAATGGTTGTGCTTTGATTTTACGCTTAAAAAACGTTTATATCTACGTCAAAGTTATATTTAAGCATTTATTATCTCTTCAGTCGTATGAAAATTGAAAAATAATTTATGTTCACATATTGCGTTTTGGAGAGAGGTATAGGTTTAAAGTAAAATATTTTTCTAGAAATAACTAAACAGTCAATCTTTCTAATTTTCATATATTTATTAGTTATACATGTACATCAGTATATCTTTTGCCTAGATTTTTTCAAGAAAATCTGAATTGTAGACAAAAAGACGTCAACAATGAACTTCTACCTTAACATTGTAATCTTCATTTTATGACTAATACACTTCATTTTGACTATGGGGGTATTTGACCCACAATTTAACCCTTCCTTTTCTAGCAAAAATTGTACAATCTCCTCCATGTATTTTGTACATTTAGCAGCTGTGTTAATTATCTCTTATAATTTATTACTTATTTTGGAACAAATTTAATGACCAGCTACAATTTCATTTCAGATAGCATTCATATCCAGGTGATATTTATAAGCATATTCATTTTATTAAACACATGTTATTTGTTATTTCCAGCTGCATGCAACTATTTTGGATGTAGTGTGATGTTAGCACTTGGAGTGCTCATAGTACCATATACCTTGCTTTTCTTTCTTGTCATGATATGTGAGTATAACTTTGAAATAAAGGGTATTTCTTAATAAACAGGGTAGACCAAAAAACAATACACAAGTTTAAAGATGAATATTACATGTATATGATATATGATGAAGCATATGTCATGTATTATATATCATTTTGAAGATAAATCATTTCCTAACAATATGACACTATCTGATTGGAAAACCCTTCTTTTCTTGTGGTGTTAGAGGTTACAATCTACACCAAGGTTGTCATGGGTGAAAAATTGCCCAATCAGCCAAATTAAACAGGGCTTGATTCACAGTGAATAATAAGATGGTCATTTGGACTTTCCACAACGAAACTGTCAGCTCTTCAAGAGTGTGATTTTGTTCACCCTGTCTCTTGCTGTTATCCCATCGAACAAGGTTCGGAGGGATATAGGGAACGCCAAAATGGCCACTCATTTAAAAATGGTGGCCATTTTAGTGCCGATTTTACAGTAGTTTAGGAACAATATGTAAAACTGTTATAGCAATACGTTTTAAATGTAAAAAAATTATATAGGACATTAATAAAGCTAGAAATGTAGATATTACAGAAGCACATGGCAGCCATCTTAAAAAATTGCGGCCTTTACTCATTATTTTATGATTTTTGCTGTAACTCAAAAAGTAGTGGAGCGATTTTCATATTTGGTATGTGAATGCTATAAGCATGGCACACTGTCTAATGATACTTTTTTTCGAAATTTGAAAAATGGCTGCCATTTTTTGCCAAATACTTTGTTTGTAAAAATGCCAGCCATGGCTGTTCGATGGAATTTTTACACTTTGGTGTTGCTGTTGTCTAGTTTATTTTGGTAATAACTTGACAAATATTTACTTATTTCAGTTTATCGAGGCGAAACAGTGAGAAAAAGACTAGAAGAGCGAACAGGTAGATTTTGTACATGTACTTTTAACTGAAGGATTAACATTAAAGATTAAATGATTATTCCAATCATATGAAATACTGCTTCTGAACCATGTTTATATTAGAATGGGATTCATTAAATTGCAGCTGCTTCCATTAATAAAGTTGAAATGTAGTGGACATTGTTTAATAAATACTTAGAAGTATGTTTCTTTGTATGTAGCATGTGTTAATATCTGCTAACGTAGGTTATGATTGCTGGTGCCCATATAATTTGAAAAGATATAGACTAACACAGCCTAATGTTCAAAGCATAGGACTAGCATTACTCATCTGTCAAATCCCAATTTAGATCGGGAGAAATCCCAATTTTTTATCGCTCATTCCAATTTTTTTTTAAATCCCAATTTTTATCCTGATTTGAAGAAAATATCCCAATTCTTTCGTAGAATATCCAGATTTCAAGAAAATATTTGGATTTTTTCATATGATATCCAGATTTTTTTTATAAATTATCCAGATTATGTGTTCATTAACTCCCACTTTGTTAACAAGATATCCCGATTTTTCAGTAAAAACTCCCCATTTTTGTTTTTTCCCCTCCCCATAAATGAGATGCCCTCGCAAAAAATTAAAGTATACAATAGGTTTTGTGATAAAACAAAATACAGTAGCTACACAAACAATATTCACTCGTAAAGCTCTTTCATCTTCTCTTAACTAAAGTATTTTAGACCTGAAATAAATCGAACGTTCTGGGCTTGTGAAATTCCAATCAATTACTCAGATGCGAGTAGGTAGTTACCAGTTTCGCCACCAGGTGGCTGATTTGGTGGAATTAGCATGACAGGGTCTTACAAAATTCCCTTAAACCTGAATATGCATCAGTTTTAGTGGTTCACTTTTCATATTACCCTTATTTATCTGATAGTTATTCAAATTAAAATATGTCCAGTAAAAGAAAATATTATCTGCCCGACACAAAAAAAAGATATTTCATTTTTTTGTGGTTTTACAACATGGGGTCTATGGGGAATCTCCCCGACCCAGAAGTCACATTTTCAAAGAAAATTAAATTTTCAAAGTTGATAAACTCTTTTCAAAACCACATTTCTAAATTTAATTTTACATGTGGATTCCAAATATGACACCAGTTTGACCAAATTGTGAGTTTTTAATGATGTAAATCAAGATTATTTCTACTCGCATCTGGGATATTGAAACGCATATAGGAGAAAGTTGGAATGTTGTTAAAACAAGAAACAAATAGGTATTTGAAACAAGAATTTAATTAAATCAATCATTTTGGGATTGAGATATTCAATACAAAGCATCAAACGCGTACACTTCATGTAACACAAACATGTATCCAATGTGATTTGCTTTATCAGAAAAATAATTGATTATGTGAGGACTACTGTAGATGGAGACTACATAATTATTTCTGATATTTAAGTAATACAAGTAATGTGCTGTGAGGTCTTAATGGATACAGAAAACCATGATTAAAGTTTGCTTAAATTGCATGAACATAACATCAAGTTGTGAGGGTGTATTCACATTAATTATGGTGTGTTACTTGGTTTAATGCATATGATATCTCATATTATAAACAAAGATAGTAAAAAGCCCCAAATGCAATTTGAAAAGGCATTTATCAAATTACTTATGTAAACCCCGATTTTCTCCAGATTATTTTTAGCAATCCCGATTTTCTTCTGATTTATTTTTATTAGTTATCTTGATTTTCTCCCGATTTCTTTAGAATTGTTGATATAGTTTTTGTACCCCCTGTTTTTCTCCCGATTTCTTTCTAGAAATCCCAATTTTCTCCCGATTTCTTCATAGAAATCCAGATTTTTCAGGAAAAATCCCAGTTTTCTCTCCAATTTCTCTTAAAAAAATCCTGACTTCTGATTTAAAAAAAAAATATGCAGATTATTATTTATTTTTTTACTTGTCAGGTTTTCCATTACAATCCTTTAATGGCAAAAACACAGTTTGTATAATTATTAATACCTGATCCAGTTTCTTGTTGAAATAATTCATGATTCTTAACATCCAGGTGATAGGGGGGCACCACAACCGCCAGCTGACTTCAATAATCCTATAGCAAGAACCCGTACATCAGCAGAGCACCCTGGTGAGGGTCCTGCCATTATCAATTCAGAGACCTATATCTGAACTTATGAGGTATAATGGCTTCAAAGAGATCTGTTATGGACTGAAAAGTCACTTGGTAGCAATGGATACAATATTGAATATGAACTTAAAAAGGAATATCACGGGCTGTCATCGAAAAATTTGTCCAGCTTGGGGGAGCATGTTATTTTTCGTAAAACCACAAAACTGCACAAAATATTTTTTTACCTCTTTATGTTTCGTTATACTAAAGAACTCATAAAGCGAGTTGCTTAAACAGATCCGTTTTCGTAAACTTTGTATCGACTTCGATACATTTTTGTTTTTCCGTGATTTCACGAGATGTAAGCAGAATCACCACTACCTTTTTGCACAATAGTGTGTCAGAGTCTTATGTTTCAGAAAATCCAAGCTTTTGGGAACATTTTTTCCGTAAGACTGTAAAATTATCAATATACTCCCTCTAGGTAGTGAGGTAGCACCGAAAAATGTACCCGCTTCTGAACAAATTGAAATTACTTTTTTCTTATGTATTTTTATGTGATACTTCAGAAAATTTTAGTCTGACGCGCCGTATCCGGGGCGAAAGTTGTCAAAATTGGGTTTTTGACCCTCAAAAGGAAAATTACAGGGGGTACATTATCATCATTGAATAATTCATTCAGTTAGTCTTCAATCATCATATTGATTTTATTGAGAGTTGATGAGATCATTTTAAGGTAGTATGCAAAGTTTCAATGGTCTGTCACTCGTGGTTACCATGGAAACCACAATTTTTGCTGAGAAAATCCTTAATTTTGGTAACACCGGTACCTGTACATAGTATAGAATGTGGATTATTTTTCAAATCAACAGATATCAGAACATTTTAGCACTCTAAAAATCACCAGGGCTGTCCAAACATTTGTTTAAAGAGAAAGAATATTGCAATTTATATGACTGGTAAGTGTCAAAGACCATACAATTACATAAGTGGTCAAAAGTGGGCGTCGCCCTCATAATATTAGTTGATTGCCATTCTCTATAAATACAGAGTTTTACTTGACTTTTGAGATACATTTATATTGAATTTATTTGGTTATACTTAATATCAAGCATTTTTACATCTAAGTGTTATAGTTATTGCATGGGGATACAGGGGGGAGGGGGGTAGTAACAGAATTGGGAGGGGGCAGAGCTTAAGTGTAAATCTCATCTACATGGTTCTAGATTTCATAGGGTACAGCTTCTGGGTCGTATTATATTCATCTCAATATATAAGATATTAGAATTTACATCGTTGGTAAGTGTCAAAGACCATAGAATTACACATGTGATCAAAAGTGGGCGTCGCCCTAATCATTGTATATGGTTCATTCTCTATAAATACAGAGTTTAACTTGACTTTTGAAGTACATTTACTTAAAAACATCTTTGATTTATAGTTAATGTCAAGCATTTCTGGTAAGTTTTATATGTACATCTAATTGTAATATTTATTGTCTCGGGGTGGAGGATGGGGGGGAGAGTAACAGAATTGGAAATGGGCAGAGCTAATAAGCCTTAAATGTAAATCTCATTTACTTAATTCTGGATTTCAAGGGATGCATCTTCTGGGTCTTCTTCACATTCATCTCAATATATGGGATATTCCAATTTACATGATTGGTAAGTGTCAAAGACCATACAATTACATAAGTGATCAAAAGTGGGTGTTGCTCTAACAATAGTAGATAATTCATTCTCTATGAATATGGAGTTTAACTTGACTTTAAGATTTATTTTTTAAATTAAAACTTCTTTGATTACATTTAGTATTGTAATAGTTATTCCCTGTGGGGGGGGGGCAAGGGGGGTAGTAGCAGAAATGGGAGGGGGCAGAGCCAATGGCCAGTCAGTTTTAAGTATTAATATCAATATCATAGTCTGATCATTTTCATTCACCTCCCGATGTTAATATATTAACAATATCATGTGGGAGAATATACCACTACACTTGCAGATTTTAGAGTCATTCAGTTGAGTGTATCTATATGGCGCTCCACCTTTGCCTTTTAAAAAGGTGCTATTGCTATTGCCCCTTCTGCATGACACTTCATCTGTGAATGTGTGAAGTGCTAGGAAGGCTGCATATATGTCAGGGTCTATATTGGAGGAAATACCACTGACATCAGTCTTCATTTGTTTCCAACTCCGTATCCAGCAGCACACTTTCCTGTATTTGCTTTTTGTTTTCATCATCATACAAGAACTAAATCCAATCTTTAGGGACTCTTGTTTTTCTACCTTAAATAGGGCAAGGTGTCCCTCCCCTCTTTCAGGTGCCTTTATAGAATTTTTGATGTGATTATCACATACAAAAACTAATCGATCTGCAATTGTAGAATCTTGAAAAAAGTCTCCGCCAGATCCAGAAACAAAACTACCTTTCAAGTTGAATTATGATTTGGGATAGTTGGGGTTTGTTTTCCTTATGATTTGTATACATTTAGAAGTTTTCTTTTTCTTGCTGGGTTCTATTACAAATTTTGGTCCTTTCCCTTTGGCACTTGTGGGTACTTGTTCATGCATAGGGATGGGTTTCTCTGTTCTTGCAAGAAGTCTAGTCAGTGTTCCTAGAGCCCAAGGCACAGGGCTCAATAGGAACTGCAGGAGACATTCTAGGCTAATTTTATGTTCCTTAGCAAGATCGAAGCTGTTCAAAGATGTTTCATTCTGAATGAATTTGAACCATCTTATAAGCTTGTTCTGAGCACTTTTTTACTGTCACTGTTGCTGCTGTAGTTTGCTGCTATAGTTTTCAATTTCATATGTTTTATTAGATCATGAAATCTTTTTTTCAACTAATCTCAGATGGTATCTCTTCATGCAATTTCCCCTTTTGACTAAAATTAGATGAGATCTGCAGCGACATTATTTGGCACAGATTTTCCTTATGATACACCGTAGAGATGACCTTCATCCTCAATGGTAAATGGATCAAGAAAGTCTTTGATTGCGGTTTTTGTCATCTTTATATCTTTTCTGTACTTGCTATTTGTGCCTTTCCAAGGTCATTATGGGTGTCACACTCATCTCATCTCTAGATAATTTTCCTAAGTTGGTCTTATGAAGGACTGTCTGATTGTCGTAACCATCGCATCCATATAAAGCACTTATTGTCTGTATGGCCCATATTGCAAATCCTCGTAGTGAACCACCAGATGGACTTGAATGGAAACTAAATGACTCCATATCTTTCCTACCCTTTGCATTCGTTTGACTTCACTTCTTAAAAGAGAGCTTCGTCTTCACTCTTTCAAACTAAAATAAACCTGTGAACTCACCGCGCCAATCAGTATTCGTCGGCCAAAATTGACCGACGTTTTATATATGGTCATTCCTTCTGACATCATCGTTGAGCCCGGAATTGACCAATGACATGCGCATATTTAATTAGAACGCATTTGGCGTATGTTTTTTCAAGCTTCGCTGATTGTTGGAAGAAAGGTCAGCGCGTAGGTCAAAAGTTATTTATAACCAAAACTGTCACCGGTACCCGTCGTGGGGGCGGGGCTACTAAACTGTAATATGGTCTCTACGAGGCAGAGTGTAGTTTAACTAGACTCTGCACGCAGGGTATATCTTTCCAGTGGGTATTGACTGATATTCTCATACAAGAGATTGGTGATATAGCAACACCAGGAGATGAATCAGAAAACTCCAGAAGATGTACCCTATGAAATCCAGAATTAAAAAGATGAGATTTATACTTAAGGCAGATGAGATCTACACATTCTAATTCTGTTACTATTCACCCCTGCCCCAATGTAAAAACTATAAAACTTACACAGATGTATTTACCAGAAATGCTGGACATAAATTATAATAACAGCAGTTCAGTATAACTATGAATGTATCTCAAAAGAACTATGCAGATGAGATTTATACTTAAGGCTGATTACCTCTCCCCCCTCCCTATTCTGTTACTACTCTCCCCCATCCTCCCCCAGGCAAGAACTATTACAATTTGATGTGCATTACTTACCAGAAATGCTTGATATTAAGTATAATCAAAGAAGTTGTAATGTAAATGTATCTCAAAAGTCAAGTTAGACTCTGTGTTTATAGAGAATGAATCTATGATAAGGGCGACGCCCACTTTTGATCACTTGCGTAATTCTATGGTCTTTATACTTACCAATCATGCAGAATTATAATATCCTATATATTCAGATGAATGTGAAGAAGACCTAGAAGATGTACCCCATGGAATCCAGAACTATGTAGATGAGATTTATACTTAAGGGTGATTAGCTTTGCCCTCTTCCAATTCTGTTACCCCCCCCCTCCATCTACCCCCTCCCCCATGCAATAAATATAACACTTACATGTACATTATTTACCAAAAATGCTTCAAATTTAGTATAACCAAGGAACATCATTATAAATGTATCTCAAAAGTCAAGTAAAACTCTGTATTTTTAGAGAATGGCAATCATCTACTATGATGAGGGCGACGCCCACTTTTGATCACTTATATAATTGTATGGTCTTTGACACTCCCCAGTTATGTTAATTGCAATATCCTTTATATTTAAATAAATGTTTGAACTGCCCTGGTAATTTTGAGAATGCTAAAATGTTATGATACCTGTTAATTTGAAAAATAATCCACATTCTATATTATGTACAGGTACAGGTTTTACCAAAATTAAGGATATTCTCAGCAAAAATTGTGGTTTCCATGGCAACCACAAGTGGCAGACCATTGAAACTTTGCATACTACCTTAAAATGATCTCATCAACTCTCAATTAAATTATTATGATGATTAAAGACCAACTGAATGAATTATTCAATGATGATAATGTACCCCCTGTAATTTTCCTTTTTAGGGTCAAAAACCCAATTTTGACAACTTTCGCCCCGGATACGGCGCGTCAGACAAAAATTTTCTGAAGTATCACATAAAAATACATTAGAAACAAGTAATTTCAATTTGTTCAGAAGCGGGTACTTTTTTCGGTGCTACCTCACTAACTACTCACTTAAGTTACCTAATTGAATTAGCTGAAAAGTGCATTTGGATTAGTGCGAATAGTGCAATATTCAACTTTGGCCTAAAGTCCATTCGTCACCCCCATACATCATATGGTGGACCTTTGAATTATTGAAAGTATGATGTTTTATGGTCAATTTATAATAATAAGGGTTTTCTGAAGCAATAAACTGTTTGAATATAAGCCACCTTGATACAACAAGGAAGTGAAAAACACACACA